AATGTATTAAATAGGGGCATTCTATACAAATATAAGATAAAATGTCTATAGATCGCTGAGTTTGGTTGAAAAACAGTGTATTATAAATAGTTCATTGCTGACTTTGCCTTTGTTGGACTGACAAATCTTTCCAGGGAGAGAAGAGGAACACTTGGTTGTTGAATGGGTGAGGTCCAGTGGAGTGCTCCATAATTATATAGCAGTTTACATTTGTACAGACATGTTGGAGCAGCTACCTAGTGAATGATCCACATGCAATGCAATTTAATATTAGCAACTCTATGGGATACAGGTAGCTGAGCAAGGCATGCAGAGGTTAAATGGTTTCCCAGAGGCCACCCAGCAAGTGTGTGGTTGAGCCAGATTTAGAACACAGTTCTAATTAGCTCCTGATTCCTAGTTTTGTACTGAGGCAAACCATACCGCACCCACACGCTGATCTTATTCCCTTCACTTTGTCTCCTTTATATTTTGACCTACCTGAATATATTATTATATTTTGATTAATTTCAAAACCAAATGAGACAAGCTAGTAAGAAGTACTCAATTACAGAAATTAAACTTGACATCAGACTCTTGTACTGTAGTGAATTTGGGGGCTATAGAGCCCGGGAAAAAGATGAAATTCCCAAGAGTAAGGTTGGAAAACAGAGTCTAAAAGAGTGAAGACAGAGATTGTATAGGAGGATAAACAAGAACGGCACGGTGCCTGCAGTCAAGTAGCTCAGAGTTTAGAGTAGGATCTGGAGAGATTGGCCGATCATTTCAGTACAATGTGGCAAACCTGGGGTTCTATGAGAGCCTGAACAATTAGGAAAGGTTCCTTAACTTGGACAAAAGCGTGCAGGAGTAAAACAAGGTGGGTGGGTGTTGGTGAAGAACTTTAATTTGGAGAATTGGATAGGTCATGAGGCGCTCTCTTTTATGCAACAAGACAGCAACGCATTTGTTCAACATGTGTCTATTTAGTGTGTGTGTGTGTGTGTGTGCACGCGTGTGTGTGTGCGTGTGCACCAAACACTATTCCATGTTTTGGGGGTACATTAGTGAACACAGTGAATACAAATTCCTGGACTTGTACAGCTTATATTTTAGGGAGAGAGAGAGAAAAACACTAAATGTTAAATAAGTCAATTAAATGATATGTTAAAAGGTAAATGCTTAAGGAAAAGCGTACCCTGAGCCAGGTGATAAGGTTAATGTGAACAGTAGTAAGTCATGTTCATGGTATGTACCCTTAATATTGTATGATGAGAATGGTACTTCACCTCTGTGGACTTCCTCTCAAAAACATAGCCCTGGTTTCATGATGAGAAAAACATCAAACAAATCCAAAATGAAGGGCATTCTGTGAAATACTTAACTAGTACTCCTAAAAACTGTCAAAGTCATCAAAACAGGTAAAGTCTAAGACACTGTCATAGCCAAGACAAGGCCAAGGAAACATGACAACTAAATGTCATGTGGTATCCTGTATTGGATCCTGGAATACATTGAGGAGTTCAGGGAAATTTGAAGAATTCTGAAGAAAGTATAGACTTTAATTAATAATAATGTAACAATATCGGTTCATTAATTGTGACAAATGTATCATACTAATGTAAGATATTACATAGAGGAAACTGAGCATGGGGTGTATAAGAACTGAGTATATTATCTTTGTAATAATTCTATAGATATAAAACTGTTGGCTGGGAGTGGTGGCTCATCACTGTAGTCCTAGCACTTTGGGAGGTGTAGGCAGGTGGATCACCAGAGTTCAAGAGTTCAAGACCAGCCTGGCCAACATGGTGAAACCCTGTCCCTACTAAAAATACAACAATTAATTGGGCATGGTGGTGGGCACCTATGATCCCAGCTACTCAGGAGGCTGAGGCAGGAGAATCATTTGAACCTGAGGGGCAGAGGTTGCAGTGAGCCGAGACTGTGCCACTTCACTCCAGCCTGGGTAAAAGAGCAAAACTCTGTCTCAAAAAAAAAAACAACCTTTTTTTTTAAATGAAAAGTTTATTTAGACAAAAGCAGAGTAAAAGAGATCAAGAGTCTAGGGCAGAGAAGTGCATTACAATTTTAAAGAGGGTGGTCAGGGAGGTCAGGTCATATGAACAATTACTTAAGGAGAGAGTTGTTCATGTTGGGGTATCTAGGGGAACAGCAAATGCAAAGGCCCTGAGGTGAGAACTTGTCTGCATGTATGAAAGTGCTCATGGGGCTTCTTACCTTCTTTGGGCCTTATTCTATGAAATGCTAAGGTTGAAAGATTATCTCAAAGGCCAGTTTCCTTGTCTAACAGTCTATGGGTTTAGACCATGTGGTATAGAAGTATTCCACCAGCCCGCATGGCCATCAATAGTTACATACTTCTTTTTTTAATTTTTTTTTTTTTTTTTTTTTGAGACAGGGTCTTTCTTGGTTGCCTAGGCTGGAGTGCAGTGGTATAATCTTGGCTTGTTGCAACCTTCAACTCCTGGGTTCAGACGATCTTCCCACCTCAGTCTCCCGAGTAGCTGGGATTACAGGTGCACACCACCATGACTGGCTCATTTTTGTATTTTTAGTAGAGATGACGTTTCACCATGTTGGCCAGGCTTGTCTGAAACTTTTAGCAGAGCAAGTGATCCACCTACCTCCCAAAGTGCTGGGATTACAGGCATGCGCCACTTCACCTGGCCTGTTATATACTTCTAACCAACCTCTAGACACCAAGCCAGAAGCATAAAAAATATTTCTAGCTGGGCACGGTGGCTCCTGCCTGTAATCCCAGCACTTTGGGAGGCTGAGGCAGGCGAATCACCTGAGGTCAGGAGTTCAAAACTAGTCTGGGCAAAACGGTGAAACCCCATCTTAAAAAAAAAAAGAATATTTCTAGATAGTTTGATAAATAATAAAAAAAGAAATAAATAATTACTTTGAGGGTGATTTATACTTTCTCTATCATGAGTAAAGACTGAATTTGAAACACTGGATAAGAAAAGGAATATCAGTAATTTTCAGTGAACAACTTAATGCTCTGAACCTTGGTACCACATTTATAAAATGAGAAACTTGTACTTTGTTTATGTTCATTTCAATTTTTAGTAAGGAAAGAACTAAAATATTTATTATATTTATGTATATTTTTGTCTCTGGCATACAAGATGAAATTGAAAAATATCCCAAGTTTCAAAATTACAGAAGTACTAAAACCCTGTTACACAGTTGGAGAGACTGAGGTTTAACTTTAGATAGACTCAGGAAAAAAAAAAAAAAAAACCCTGTTTACAGCTAGAAAAGTTTTATTACTAATATGTATCTTTAAAAATAAATCTTTGCCTTGCTTCATGAAGTACTAACATAATAAATATCAAAATATATAAAAGTAGACAAATTCATAGTCATTATCACTTTGCAAGAGGTTCTATAGAGGTCCTATGAACTGCAAACCTCCTTGATACTCCTAAAATAAAGGTCTATATATGAGTTTAATTTACATATATTAAGCAAGGTAGTTTGGTGCTGTTGATATAAATGTAATGGTTTAATGACCTAAGCGGTAAACATTAATTTAACCATAAAAATTGTGAAGTTTTTACAAAGAAAGCACATCTGTCTATCTTTGTGACAACATATATGTATTAGTCCATTTTCACACTGCTGATAAAGATATACCCGAGACTGGGTAATTTACAAAAGAAAGAGTTTTATTGGACTTACAATTCCATATGGCTGAGGAGGCCTCACAAACATGGTGGAAGGTGAAAGGCACGTCTCACATGGCAGCAGGCAAGAGAAGAACTTCTGCAGAGAAACTCTTCTTTTTAAAACTACCAAATCTCATGAGACTTACTCACTATCACAAGAACAGCATGGGGAAGAACTGCCTCTATGATTCAGTTACCTCCCACTGGGTCCCTCCCACAACACATGGGAATTCAAGATGAGATTTGGGTGGGGACACAGCCAAACCATATCAATATTATAATGGTGTTGCTAATTGCCTAGTTTTGCCTACTTATAAGAAGTTAAGGATTAAAAAAACCCTTGCCTAGTTGTTTTGTTTGTTTTGGTAAAGATATAAAGGTATACGTGACAGTTAGATACTTGAAATGTGACTAGTGTGACTGAGAAACTTTAATTTTACTGAATTTAAATGTGAATGGTCATAATGACTAGTGTCTACTGTACTGGATAGCATCATTGTCAAAGTCTGCTATAATTTGGCCTGTACTTGATGATCTAGTGTTTCATGGAAAGCATGGATTACTGCTCATGCAGGATTCTTTCTGCCCAGGTAGAGATGTAAGGTTTGGGGCTTGAGTTCTGGAGGGAGAAAAGGATGAACACAAGCCTGCCACTCAGGCCGTGGCTTCACCTTAAGCTGTTTGACACCCTACAGACTAGACCCATACTCTGAGGCCAATCCTAGAAGTCTCGGGGAGTTTGGAGCCTGAAACCCTAAGAATGCCGGAGCAATTCTGAAGTCCAGAGTCATCATCATGCATTATATAATCTAAATAAGAAACACAAGCACAGTCACATTTGGATTTTAAAAACAGGCAGAACTTCCTTCTCGGCTTCCCTGTTGCACCTTTAAACCCAACAAATCATCAGTGCTTTCAAAGTTTGTGAAAGGACTCAAGCATTTATGACTTTTAGACTGATTATGATACAGGCCCAGTCACAGAATTCCTAGTCTTTTTGCTTACTATTTTAGGTCAGCATATCAGAGATTTGCCAGGGCAGTCTTTTCACAAATGCTCTCAAAGCATTTTCTCTGTGTGAGCAAAAGCTATTGACCTTAATTCCTCTTATCAAGTGCTCCACCCTGCTCCATGTAAGTTTTTATCCAAAGCGAGTAGTGATATGTATTACTGACAAAGGCACTTCTGTGTAAGTGTTGTCTGCCTTTGTACTTGGCTGCCATAGAAGAGGTGTAAAGGAGGGAAAGTAATTTGGCAGATTTGTGAGCTATAGAATACAATGAATCATGTGCCAATGTTATCCTGTTTATTTTCTTCCAGGAAATCACGGATTGGCATGGCATTGCTTTGACAAGTACTTCCTGTTGTCTTCACAGAAGTCTCTCTGCAGAATAATCTCAAAGGAATATCTGGTCTCCTAAATGTTAATGCCCATTAGCCACTGACGAATATTCTTAACTGCTGGGAAAACATCAACCACCCTTGTGTTTAGCCTGCTCCAGGAAGCCCAATGAAGGTTTCTTCCAGCTGTTTCCATAGCTCTATTGCTGAAGTACCTCTCTTGGTTGGGTGAATGTTCATGAAGCCATTTCTTGAACCAGCTTAGGAGGCTGAGGCCTCCTGGAGCCTGTGACATGGAAGCTTTGGAAGTGGATGATATCAGCCCGGCCTTAGAAGTTACAGAGGAGTTCTTTAGTACTTTGGACAGTAAGCTAGAAAAGGCTGTCCAGCAAGCAGAGGTTTATGGGATCCAGGAAGTCCCTGAACTGGTGGGGCATGAGGTACTCAGTAACATCACAGACAATGGTGCTATGAGAAATGTGGCCTCCCTGGGCAAGGGAGGCATGATTTGGGACCACTGTAAGAGCAGGCTCTTAGAAACCAAAGCTCAAAATGTCTTCCCTGCCAAAGAACAGTTTATGGTCCAGAGAGGGACGACCCCCGATAATCTTTCCTGGATGGAACAAAAGGAAGCATCAACCTTTAATTTTTTCAATATCTGTCAGCGTCGGCGGGACCGGCCTCGTTCTGTGAATGACTTACTGGATGAGACCTCTACTTTCAAGCCAGGGCATGCTCGATCACGATCAGATATTACCCAAGTGGACTGGAGGGTGGTCCTCAAAACCATGCCTTTGCAGCCGCAGCCTTCCCTTCAAGGCCCGCACTTTACCAGGCCATCTTTTCTGTTGCCCTCACCAAGTAAGATAGAAGATGCTCAAGGAAATACCGGTATGTTTTTAAATGTTATTTATTTCTTTTTTTTGGAGGGGGGTGCTGTGACTCAGATAAGTTCATATGCTTTTATATCTGTCTTCTACTGAACAATTGCTGATTTTTCCTTTGTCTCTCTTAATCTGCCTCATGACAATCTTATGCTCTAGCATTCATGTCTGGCCTTGCTTATTTAAGCTCCCTCTTCCATTTTCTTGTGTATTTTACCAGGCCTCAGGTCAACAGTCTTATTATCTTCCTAAAAGGCATTCAGTGAAAAGACAATTACGGTAAATTCTCCCTTTCTGATCTTGTATCTTAGAATCAGATTACCCTCATACTTAATGTATTAATAGTATTTTCCTGTGCACATTGTATGACACTGCCTATTCCTATAGGCAGTATATTGGGCTCAGCCTATGCAAGGAAAGATTTAAAGATGTGTGAAGACACAATCCTTGCCCTAAAGAACTTTTCATAAGACTCAAGAAGGTACTTGATAATAAGAGACCGTATATGGGCCATTGAAATGTGTGTGAGGGACCTTCGTTTTACTCTGTCCATATGAGTGAGTGGCAGTGACTGTAAAAGGACAGAAGAAGAAGACACTGTGGGTTGGGTTTCGCAAGGCTTGGCCTGCAAGGGGATATGGAACTTCAGCCACATCTGGAAGGACACTAAGATGCAGACAGTCACAGCACATGACACTTGGTCAGGATTATTGTGTAATCAAAGGTGAGGAGAAGGGCATAAAGAAGAGAGCAAGCAGACCTTGGTGAGTAGAACAGAGGACTCCATGGGCAGCAGTGGGAGGAAATGGCTGGAGAGGGTGCTTAGGTCCTCCTTCATGATGGAGGGTCTTGAATTTCCTTTCTCTTCATATTTTATACACATATATGTGCACATGAATATGTACTCATGAACTTGCTCTTCTTTGAGACACAACCAACTCTCCATTTCCCCCAGTGTTTCTGAAAAGGTTTCCTTTTCAAATCCTTTCTTTTTTTCTACTCAAATTCATGACTTGTAATTCCTTGTCTTCTCTCCTAGGCTCTCACCATTCTTTTATAACATGTGCCAAGGGTAGCGACCATGGGAGTAAAAAGAAAAGGACATTATATACATTTTTTTCTTTTTTTAAAATTCAGTTTTTAGAGACAAGGTCTTGTTCTGTCTCCCAGGCTGGAATATGGTGGTGTAATTGTAACTAATTGCAACCTCAAACTCTTGGGCTTAAGGGATCCTCCCACATTATCCTCTGAAGCAGCTGGGACTACAGGCAGGCACCACCATGCCCAGCTAGTTTTTTTCAGTTTTTTTTTTTTTAGAGATGGAGTCTTTCTGTGTTGCTGTGGCTGGACTTGAGTTCCTGTGCTCAAGCAATCCTTCCACTCCAGCTTCCCAAGTAACGGGAATGACAGGCATGAGCCACCAGGCCTGGCTAAGAAAAGGATATTTTAAAGCACGAGACTTGATGGCTGATTAGATATTAAGGGACATGGCTGGGCACGGTAGCTCATGCCTGTAATCCCAGCACTTTGGGAGGAGGCAAGCAGATCATTTGAGGTCAGAGATCAGTCTAGACAACACGGCGAAAACCACGGTTTTCGCAAAACCACAAAAATTAGCTGGGCTTGGTGGCACACACCTGTAGTCCCAGCTGCTCAGGAGACTGAGGCACAAAGATCGCTTGAACCCAGGAGATGGAGGTTGCAGTGAGCTGAGTTTGCCCCACTGCACTCCAGCCTGGGCGACAGAGGGGGAGACTGTCACACACACACACACACAAAAGATACGAAGGGGCATCCAAGTTGCTGTAAGCCCATTGCCTAGCAGAATGATAGCTTTGCCTGAGGTCATGTATAAGCAGGCGCACTTTCTGATTTGCAAATAACCTCAGTAGTTTTTTTGGTTTCTTAGCATTCCTATAGGTTTTTATCATAAAACCTCCTTAACCATTCTAAATCCATGGTGTAGCCAAGTTAAGAGGATGTCATATTTCCAATTGTATTTTTCTGATCTTGTTTTGATTGTAAATATGAGAAGTCAACCTTCCTTAGGCTCTCTAAAGACCTGAACTACTTCTTTGAGTGCTTAACAGGCCATGATAATTATTTTTTAATTCTTATGTTTAAAAATAGTTTAATATTAAATTATATTGAAATATGAGAACTGAGTGGTATTTTGAAAAGTCAACTGTAACATGGCATTTGCAAGTATTGATATAATATATTCTGACTACCATTTATTTATTTATTTAGTTAATTTTTTTCCGAGAGGATCTCACTCAGATACCCAGATTGGAGTGCAGTGGTATAAATCATAGCTCACTGCAGCCTCAATCCCCCTGGCTCATGCAATCCTTCCGCCTCAGCCTTCCAAATAGCTGAGACTACAAGCGTGTGCCACTGTACTTGGCTAATTTTTAATTATTTATTATTATTATTATTATTATTTTTTTTAGTAGAGATGAGGTTTTGCTATATTGCCCAGGCTGGTCTGGGACTCCTGGGCTCAAGCAATCCTCCCACCTAGGCCTCCCAACTGTTGGGGGTTACAGGTGTGAGCCACTGCTCCCAGCCACAGCCACCTTTAGTCATCTAGGAGATAGACATCCTAACAGGAATTAGCGAATGTGGGTAAATGGCATACCAAGTTTTGTTTTGTTTTGTTTTTTGTGAGATGGAGTCTTGCTCTGTTGCCCAGGCTGGAGTACAGTGGCGCAATCTTGGCTCACTGCAACCTCCACCCCTGGCTCAAGCATTTCTCCTCCCTCAGCCTCTGAGTGGCTGGGATTACATGCACGTACCACCATGCCAAGCTAATTTTTGTATTTTTAGTAAAGACAGGGATTCACCTTGTTGGTCAGGTTGGTCTTGAACTGCTGACCTCGTGATCCGCCCTCCTCAGCCTCCCAAAGTGCTGGGATTACAGATGTGAGCCACTGTGCCTGGCTGGCATGCCAAGTTTTTGACACCTTTTCTTTCTGCCATTCTCTGGAGAGCAGACAAGATAAATTATGTTCCTATCACTCATCAGGTGAAGGGCAGGGGCAAGCAGTGGCCACCCTTTCTCAGGCTGGAGTTCTAGACTGCATGGTTGATCACCTGTTCTGATGCCGGTATTCTCACAAGCATTCGTGGCAGGGTATGCCAACATCCAGGTGCCTACTAGTCAAAGTCAGCCAAGATCTCTGAGTCAAGTTGACTTTAAAACCTTTGAAGTTAGTGATCCAAATTGAAGAAAGTCTCATTGTTTCTCCTGAGGAATATGCCAGAAGCAGAGGAAGGCAGTGCAGTGCCTTGGCTAGAGCTGGAGATGAGGACCCAGGAGATTTGGGGTCAGGCAAGACCTCTTTCTTGAGCTGCAGACTTACATCTCCAACTGCCTGGTGAGCATTTTTGTTGGAATGTACTACAGGCATCTCAAATTCAGAGTGTCTCCAGATCACCCATAATCTTCCCTTGTTCCACTCCTGCTGTTTTAAGTTAACAAGGGTTAATGAAAGGCTGGGGGCTCCTCAGAAGAAATAAAATTCATCAATGGGTTTCTTTTGACAAGGTCAACATGATTTTGTGTCTAGCCCTGTCATTCTCTTACTTGCAGGTGTTATTACTGCATGGTTATGTTTTCTCCAGCTAATGTTCATTTTTTTACCTGGCTCCTTTACTGAACTCAGCCTCAGCTTAAAGGCTTATCAGGAGTGGTTCTTCCTTTATCTGCTCTATCCTCCTACTCCCCTTCATCCTTCTCCTTCCTCCTGTAGCAAGTCCAAGGGTCTTCTTTATCAGGTAGGGCCTCTGCGTCTGCTGTCTCAGTTGCTGATGCATAACCAGGCTCTTGAACCTTACTGAGGATAAATGTTGTTTTGGGTACATAAAGCAAATTGCGCTCTGGTATGATGAGGGCTGTGGGTAGCTAGGGTGTAGCAGCTATTTTGCTCAAGCCTGTCTGAAGGAGGCCTTCTGGTCAAACAAAGTAGCATATTTGTTAGAAACAGGACTCTAAACCTAGATTTCTAGCATTTCCAACTTTGCTCTAGTACTTACTAGTTGTATAACATAAGGCAGGTTTCTTAATCACTCTGTACCCCCATTTGAGGTTTTTTGTTTGTTTGTTTGTTTGTTTTTTTTTTTTTTTGAACATAAAGTATCAGGTAGTAGTAGTACTGACCTCAATTTCTTGTGAGCATTAAGTGGGTTAAAACATCTAAAGTGCTTCTTAGAACCATGTTCAGTACACTTAATAAAAGTTTTAAACATTTAATGATATTATTGCTGTTATTATGAATTGAATTTGAAACCCATCAATGAGAATCAAAGTGACACTAACAAGCACTTCAAGTTTTTTTTTTGGTTATAAAATGGCCTCACAATAAATATTTCTTGAAATGAATTGGCCTTCTTGTGTTATACTTTCTCATAGTTATTAACTGGTTTGTTAATGGGGAACAGACCATTCTTTCCCTCTCTCATACTGATTTATGATCAACTATTTATTGTCTTCCACACCAGAGTTTATGGTCACTGATAGAAGGGACCATAAACTTGTTTTCTTACCCATTTTTTTTTTCTTTCCTTTTTAAAGTTACTTTTCACCTGAGAATTTTACCCATTGTTTTATCTTCAGTATCTAACTTAGTGCTTTGAACATGTGCTCAAAAATATGTGCCCCAAAAAATTTTAAATGTAAAAATGAATGTAGTTAAATTACAGGCATTAACTGTAAAACTGTTAAAGGCATTAACTTCTTTAGCTGGTTTGTGTCTCTCTAGAAAAAATGACTCCACCCTCTTTTCTGACATCTTCCCTTTCTCCACCCTAACACCATCATTAGCATTTGCACATCCTCTCTGTGAAGCTCTGTAGCAGCAGCAAATACTGAAAAATGAAGATACGCTTTTGTCCCAAAAGCTGCCCTGATAAGATAAAATCTAACACTTTCCCCTTTCTGACTGTGTGTGGCTTATAAAGTGCACCTAATGTTGGAAGAATGTTACTCTGGTCTTGGAGAGCTAT